TACTATGCTATTTTACAGTAATTTTGATGAAAGCCATTTGGATAGATTGCTTTAATCAAGTAATTCATTTTTCCCCCATAAGTGTTTATAAATAGGATTTTGATGCTAGCTTGGCATGTGGAAACTGTCACAGTGGTATAATTTTTTCTTACATTAGGATATCTTTTATGATTTATCCTGTTTGTAAGTATACTGTAGATTAGTTCAGACTAACTAAACCAATTTGTCCTCATTTGCAATCTCTCTCTTTAATTTTTGGTCAAATTGGCAGATTGAAAATAAAACTGTTGAATTTAATGTAGTGATAAATAATATGAAGATAGCATTATTATCTTCCAGTGATAAGATGATAGTCTTTAAAATATGGTATATTCAGATATCAGCATTTTTGCTTTTGAGAATCTTGTTACATATGCATTTAGGAAAATAATTTCTAGGGAGGATGTAAATGGTGATATAGCAGTAAACTTGACACTCTGGGAAGCAATCCTACATGGAGAGTTACTGGTTAGCCTCCAGAGACTTCCCTGAGAATGCCAGGCACTCACCTGCCCGTGATCTGGGCTGAGTGAAGGTAGGAATAGATCAGAGTTAGGATCCTTTCAGAGATGCTATGGCTTCTCTCTCTCTCTCATTCATGAAATAAATAAACTTTAAAAAAAAGTTAATTTCAGAGCCATGTTGTAAGATGGGAAGCCACAAACAAATCACATACAACTTGTTGCTGCCTTTAGAGGCAACCATCATTCAATATGGTATCATAATGTTATTAGGTTTAAATGACATGTATTAAAGTCACTCGCCTTACTTGGTAGACACTTCTTTTTCTTCTCTCTGTGACTAAGTAACAATTTAGGCCCAAAATAGAGGAGAATTTTTATAAAAGTTACTTTCTCTGAGAACTTTGTTCCGTGAAATATATATAGACAGTGAGGCATGAGTTCTCCAAGTGGAACTTAGAGTACTGTTAACAAAAGAACAAAAGAGAGAACATAGTCTTCTTTAAACTTTGAATTCAACTAGTAATTACATTTAAATTAGGATGCAGGCCAAGCTTTAGTTTGGCAATTTTGAGAAATGAATCTTTAGGGTAATGATATTTTGTACTTTATTTTCTTTTACCAAAAAAAATTATTAGACTTTTTTTTTTTTTTTTTTGGTTGTGAAAGCAGTGTACACTGTTTAAGAAGCAAAATGGTGGACAGTCCCCATCTCCCAGTAATTAAGGGAGCTAAATTCCACATGGTCAACTGTGTACTTCGAATCTCAGTCCCAGTGACTTGAGAAACATGCTGGTTGCTTGTGTGTGCCCCAAGTCCTGACAGGATGGAAAAATGGAGGAAAAGGGATTGTGGCATGGCCACACCGCATGGGGGAGGTGCTTTCTCCCTATCCCTCTTGTTCTTGCTGGTAAATGCACATACCCTTTGGCAAAACTAAAAAAAGAAAAAAATACAACAAAAAATTAATATGGCAGAGATGACTATCCTTCTCTCCTCTTTCTTCTCCTCAACCTGCTCTCTATAGCCTAATGCCATTAAGTTTGTTTTTAATTACTGTTTTAACTTAAAAAACATGCTTCCATATTCTTAGATTTATTATCAAACATCTTTTGACTTTCAACTCTGAAAAGTGGGGAGATTAGTGGTCTTACATTTTAAGCCCATAACTACCCTTCCAAGATTTTTGTTATTGAAGTGGTGTTTCTTAACTCTCTTTATCAATGATAAAAAATTTAGGGTACTTAAATCCTTAATTTTATCTTTCCTTTCAAAATCTTTCTGCTTTTTTTTTTTTTAAAGCCATGTTATGACTTTTGTCTTTGCTTTTTATACAGAATAATTCTGTCTGTACATAGAGAAATCATACAGGGTAATTTTCAAAATCAAAAACCAGGATTCATTCATTTATTCATTTTATCAACATTGATCCTTTCATATTGGAATACCTTAGGACTTTGAACTTGGGTTTCTGTTTTTTTTGTTTTTCTATTTGCTCAGATTCCAAAGGAAATCTCATTAAGTCTTAATGTTTTCAATTCCATCAGTACATTTCAGGTTACATTACTACCCTGACCTGCCTGCCTCATTTCACATTCTGTATGTTCAACTGCCTCCTAGGAAGCGCAATTCAAATATCTAACTGGCATGTCAAAGTTATTATGTCCTAAAGGAGTTCTGATATCCATTCCTTTTCTCCCTAAGTCTTCCCACAGTGTCTTACATAACTGTAGTGGCACTTTATTCTTCCACTTGCTCAGACCAACAACTTGGCTGCATTCTTGTCTCTTTCTTTTTAAAATCCAATCCTTATGTCTGATTCACCTGTACATTGATTGGGCTCTGTATTCAAAGTATATAAAGAATTTGACATTTACCACATCTTTAACTGCTATTCTGATACAAACCACCATTGTCTCTTGACTGAATTATATCAATAGCTTCTCACTTGTAATCTGTTGTCAACTAATAGCCATTATGATCCTGCATATGTCAGATCTGTCATTTCTTGACTTTTCAGCCATAGCTTCCCCTCTCATTCTGAGTAAAAGTTAAATACCTTCTGTCCTATGAGGCTCTGAGTGATTTAGTGTTCTTTTTGTTCACTATTCTCTTCCTTATTTCACTTGCTACCATAGTTTGTGGGTGACTCCTTATTCTACCACATTACAGAGGTCTTGACTTTTCAGTGAGGCCTAAAGGCCTTTCCAAGCAATCTTATCTGAAATTCTTCTCTACATTTTTTTTTTTAAAGAGAGATTTTTGCTCTAGAGCACATGTACTCATTGGAGAGACAGAGAGACAGAACGTGAGAAACACCCCCGGGGTGGGGGGGTGGTGATGCTGCAGTTCTTCTTCTCCATTCTCTTCTCAGGATCTTGGGCATTCACACACATGTGCCCGGTGTGATTTTAAGCTGCCAAATCCAGAACTCAAACTCCCGTAACCCATGTGGGAGTCCAATGACATAGCCATTATGCCATCTGTTGGTCTCAGTTCTCCCCTACTCTTTACATGCCATATAGCTCCTCCTGTCTATATATATATTTTTGGGGGGAGCTTTCAGTATTATTTGATATACAATACATTTTAATTATTTAGTTTAAAAGAATGATCAGGTTAGAATAATTGAAGAAAACACATGACTCCAGGCACTTTAAGCAAACGGAAAATTAATAAAGGGAATTAGATGCTGCCAATTTTACTAGAAGAGCTGGTGGTGTGGAAATGGAAAGGTTCCTGGCTTAGGTTAGTCATTGTGCTAATGATTGCAGCTGCCTTACAGCACCATCATAGGAAGCTGGCAGGGGGCATTGTGATTACTATAAAACCTTATGTCTATCCAAGCCCATGGATCTGTTCATAGCCATCAGAACAAGAGTAGTCTGGTTTCTGTCTCTTCCACCTGCCAAATGTTGTGCAATTGTATTATATCAGCTGAATGTAAATCACATCCAGGATTTCAGGGACAAAGATATTTGTCAAATGTGGTTCTCACACATTTAACTTCAGTAATACAAAGAACTTAGAAGGCCATGATAATGAATTATAAATAACCATTGTCTGTGATCTATATGATATGATTTTATACATACATATTGGATTAGTCATGTCCCAGAAGAACAGAACCAACAGGATGGAAATATTTTTGTATACATAAATATATGTATATGAAAGAGCAATTGCTTTTAAGGAACTGGCCCATGCAGTTATGAGGACCGGCAGATATGAACCGGGCAGGTTGACAGGCTGGAAAGCCAGGGAGGAGTTGATGTTGTAGTCTCGAGTCCAAAGTCAGTTTGGATGCAGAAATGCAGAATTTCATTTTATTTTAAGAGGTTCGGTCTAATTTTCTTCTTCTTCTTTAAAGCCTTCAACTAAGGAATGAGCCTACTTCAGCCCTCCCCCCCATATATTATGGAAAATTAATCTGCTTTACTCAAAGTCTACTGATTTAAGTGTTAATCACACTTTAAAAAACTTACACTGAAACATCTAGGCTGGTATTTGATCAAACAACTAAATACAACTTAGACAAGTTAACATATAAAATGAATGATCACAGTCCACTCGTTAATTTGACCCCTCATACATATTCTTTTTTTTTTTTTTCTTTTTTGGAGAGGTTTTTTGCTATAGGACGCATGCGCTCGCCAGAAAGAGAGAGACAGAGAGATAGAAAGCAAGAAATCACCCCCCAGGGGTGTTGGCCACACCACAGTCCCTTCTCCTCCATTCTCCTCTCAGGATCTTGGGCACACATGCACACAGTGTGAGTTTAAGCCACCGGGTCTAGGACTCGAACTGCAGTCGGCTACATGAGAGTTCAGTGACATAGCCATTACACTAACTGCTGGTCCCCATATTCTTAATTTGTACTTATTATGGGCTTAATTGTGTCCCCCTCCCTCCCAAAATTCATATTGAAATTCTAAGTCACAGTACCTCAAAATGGGACAATATTTGGACATAGAATTTTGTAATAGGTAGTTAAGTTAAATTAAGTCATTAGAATGGGCCCTAATTAAATATAATTGGTATCCTTACAAGAAGAGAAAATGCTGGCCACTATGAATACATATATATATTTAAAAATTCAATGTGTTTGGCTGGTCTTATAGCCTAGTGGTTTAAAGAATGCTGATTTGACATGGCCAACCACAATTCAAATCCTGGCCCCAGAGGATTGAAAAACACACTAGGTGCATTTGTGTGCATGCCCAAACTCCCAACAAGATGGAGAAATGGAGGAGGAAGAGTTGTAGTGTGACCATGTTCCCCTGGGGGTGGTGCTTTCTCCCCCCTTTCTTTCCCTCTTTTCTCTCTGTCTCTGGTAAGGGCATAGTCTCTCTAGTGATTAAAAAAAATTAAATATGTTCACAATCCTTTTCACCTGACTGAGACTTCATGCTTGAAGAAATCAGTGACTTCAAACTTACTTTATTTTCCACTTATCATAATTCTATACCAGTACTAATACATATGATTTTCTTCTTCTAGGATTTCCAGGTTTACAGGATGGCTGAACATTGATGTGAAAGAAAAGTATACACCTATCTTTCATTATGGAGGCAGGTTTGGCAGATGGAGAACCTGACCGAACTTCGGTGAGTCGCTCTAATAGAGTGTAATAAGGTATTGAGGTACTTTGGTCTTCAGCTGTAAAGTATTTGATGCAAGCCATGATCTTGCTGTTTAAGTTGGTTTAGAAAACAGTGAATGACCCCCATGAACTCAAGAGGATAGCCCAAGGAGAGATGGTGTGGGCATCCAAGGCTGCCTCTGGGAAGTCTGGCAGAGTTGAGCATGAGGGGCCTTACACTCCTGAGTACTAGCAGGAGGCATTTTGGATGCAGGGACAGCCGAGAGTGAGGAGCCAAGGGCATGAGAAATTAATCATGCAGGCAGTGTGGTCCACATTGTGTAGGAGATCATAGTTTGGAGTTTTACTGTCTGTCCACCATTTGGGTAGAATCAGGCTCTGTGCCTTTGCACAAAAAATGATGTTTCCTGGGGGCAAAGAAAGAGCCGGAATGACCTGGACTCTGAAGCTCCTGCTAGCCGGTGAAGCACTTGAACGCTGGCTACTATAAGACTTTGATGTTAGCCTGTCTGGGATTCGCCAGGAACTGTGCTTATGTTACAGCAAGAATGATGTCCTTGCATTGCCCATTTTTAAGCAAGAAGAGTCAAGTTTGCCTCCTAATAATGAGTATAAAATCCACCTTTTCACTATGGGTTTGGCACTGCCACATTTGCAACAGTGAAACTCCATGATGAAACCCTGACATACCTTGACATACCTAAATCAAGGACAGTCTTACGGAATCTGAATGCTAGATAATAGGAAACTTGGAGAACTTCCAGAAATTAATGATGAATTAATGAAAAGTATAGAGCATGTGTTGCTCCATGATGAAAGGCTCCTACACACTGAACATCAGCAACCAGAAAGCCGGTGGTAGAACCGACCTGGAGATCGAATTTTGACATAGATATCCCAATGTCCATAGGTGTAAATGATCCTGGGGTGAATCCAACCCAACTAAATACAGTGGAGTTCCTGTGGTACCCTGCAAAGAGGACACCCGTGTTTACTCAGATGCACTGTGTTAGACAGAGTTCATTATGAGGAAACATGGTGGAGAAAGATGGTGGCTTTAAGAGTACAAGTTGATACCGTCAAGGAAAATGAGAACGGGAAATACACTGAGCACTTACATTCAATCAACTGCCAGATCAAAGTCTTCAAGCCTAAAGGTGCAGACAGGGGTAAAAAAAAAAAAAAAAAAAAAAAAAAAAAAAAAAAAACTGGGGAAAATGGAAAAACGAAAACCTCGTAAAAAAAAATATCAGCCTTTCTATGAGATACCCACAGAGTGTTCTCCTTGCCCCAAGGTCACACATGTCAGTAATTCCCCATCACCTGGGCGAGGGAAGTGGTTCCCTAAACCACCAGCTAGAGCCTCACCCTTCAGTCACAGATAACCTCTTGCAACAACCACACCTCAGGATGCTCAGCAATGGTTGCCTCAAAACTGTTTTTCTATAGTCACAAGACTTTTCACAAACTTCTTGGTGACAGATCTGTTGAAACTAACTACAGATGATGTGATCAAAATCAGTGGTCCCTAGATGGATTAGAAGTTTTAATGCATTCAAAGGCCGAATGGTGTGGCCACAGTTAACCATTTCTGTTTCTCAGGAATCATTGTAGTTGAGGGTACAACAGCAGCAGCAGTAACAACAGAAGCAGGAGGTTGGAGACTTTCTTTGTGTACCATACTGTCTTCCTAGGAGAACTAACAGCTTCTGAATTGACAAAAAAACTGCTTAGCTTTTCAGTATTTCTCTTTGTCAGATCAGCCAAATTTCCGAGCAGGCCCCAACAGGAATCCATGTGCTTATCAGTGATAAGATGGTACAGATCTATTGGGAGGAAGCCTGTTTTATTCTGGACAAAATAAAAGCAAAAACCAATGATAACTGTCGTATACTGAAGGAGGACTGTGGCATTCCACATCCAATGGCTGCTTTCTTCACCTCTTGAAAACTGCATTCTGGGCCAGTTAGTGACATAGTCATTGGAACAGCTGGATCTCACATGACTGACTGTGATTCTAGTCCTAGACTGACGACTTGAAAAACATCCCGAAGGCCAGCAGGTGGTGAAGAGGTTAAGGTTTCTGGATACCACATAGGTGACTGGGCAGTTTGAATTCTAGATCTAGCAGCTTGAAAAACATGCTGAGTATGTGTGCAGGCATGCCCAAAATCCTGAGAGAAGAATGGAGAAGGGATTGAGGCTTGACCATTCCCCTTGAGGGGTGATTTCTCAGTCTCTAGTAATTTCTCACACATCCTATAGCAAACTCAAAAGAAAAAGAAAGAAGAAAAGCATGCCAGGCTGTGCATGCCCAAAATCCGAAGAGGAGAATAGAGGAGAATGGATAACTGAGTGGTCATCTTTCCTGGGACTGTGCTTTCTCACTTTTTCTCTTTGTTGTTATTCTCTAGCAAGTATATGCACCGTATGGTAGACAAAAAAAAAAAAAAAGGAAAAGAAAAGAAAACTTCCCTTTTTTGGGGGGATGTGAATGAACTTTTGAAGGACTGTGGGAACCTGACGCATTTGACTGGGGGAAGAATCACAGGCCTCTATGTTGGACCAAGCTCTTGTGGGATACACAGATTACTGCTTAAAATGCAGTGCTGGGGACCAGCAGATGGCATAATGATTATGTGACTGGACTCTCACATAGTCGACCACAGTTCGAGTCCCAGACCAGGCAGTTTAAATTCATGATAGGCACGTGTGTGTTCATGCCCAAGATCCTGAGAGGAGAATGGAGGAGAAGGGATCGCAGCATGGCCATCCCCACTGAGGGGTAATTTCTTGTTTTTGTCTCTGTCTCTCCAGCACGCACAAATTCTATAGCAGAAATCTCAAAGAAAGAAAGAAACAAAGAAACAAGCAAAATACAATTCTGCATCTGTTTCTTAAATTTTGTGGACTTTGTTATTAAATATCAATAGATCTCATTAAAATGTACATAGAATGTACATAGGGCATAATGATGATAAAAACTGTAAGATATTTAATGGGAAGCTATTAAGTTTTGTGATCTGGAGCCATGTAATATTTTTCTAATATAAAAATAAACACCAATATTTATAAGTCTAGGTCCTAAACTTCTTTGGCCCCAAACATACTGACATCTCTGCTTTTTGCCATGACTGATCCCTGAAAATTTCATCAGTGAAAAGAAATACAGAGATAGAATTTTTCTTTTGGTTCCCCAGTAATACTACAACTAATAGTAATTTTAGCTAAAACTTATTGAGTCAGGCAATATAATAAATTCTTTAAATAGATTACCTTGTTTAATTCTCTTAATAATCCTATATGATATAGATATTGTAATGATCCCTAACTGAAGATGAGGCAATGGAGACACATACTAAGTGGCTTGCCAAATAACAAGCAGCTAGCAGGCCAAGCAGCTAGCAGGCCAAGCAGCTAGCAGGCCAAGCAGCTAGCAGGCTGTGATGCTGAAATGCAAACCCCGGCAATCTGGGTCTTATCATTCCTCATCCGATACTACCAGTGCCACCCTTTATAACTTGTACTCACCATTGTTTCTTACTGTGGCTCTTATGGTGAATAGGACATAGCTCTGAGTGTTAACTAAGATATATTAATCACTGGCAGTGACAAACCACACCCAAATAATGATGAACAAATCAGGAACTATAAAAAAATGAAAACATAGATATTTTGAAAATGTTATCAAGTATCAGAATCTTTGAGGTGGTGAAAACTTGGAGTTATCTGTAACTCTCAAAATTGACTATTCTTGAATGACATTCTCAAACTGTTAATAAATCAGGCTAATCCCTGCTTTCTGTTTCCTGTTCTTGGCATCTTCCTTTGATTTTAGAAGTTTTTTCACTTATATAATATTCTCTGTCAGCTTTAAAAGAAATTAATTCCCATTCATCCCATTCACACTTACCATATGTTTGTGTCCTTTAAGAATAATCGTGTGGAGGGACCAACAGTTAGCATAATTTCTATGTTGCTGGACTCCCATGTCGTTGACTGCGGTTCAAGTCCTGGACCTGCTGGCTTAGACTCATGCCAGGCATGTGTGCGTGCGTGCCCAGGATCCCAAGAGGAGAATGGAGGAAAAGGGATTTAGGCGTGGCCATCCCTCCTGGGGGGTGATTTTTTGCTTTCTGTCTCTCTGTCTCTCTCTGTCTGGCGAGCGCACGCACCCTATAGCAAAAACCTCTCCAAAAAAAAAAAAAAAGAATAATCATGTGGGGATCTGCAGATGTTGTAATGGTTATGTCGCTGGACTCCCACGTAGTCAACTGCGGTCAAGCGTCTGACCTGGTAGCTTAAAACTCACGCTGGGCACGTGTGCATGCATGGCAAAATCCTGAGAGGAGAATGGAGGAAAAGGGATTGTGGCATGGCCATCCCCTCTGGGGGGAGAGGGGGGGTGATTTCTTGCTTTCTGTCTCTTACTATCTCTGTCTCTTCGGCGAGCTCAGGTGCTCTATAGCAAAAACCTCTCTACAAAATAAATAAATAAATAAATAACATAATCATGTGTGTGTGTGTTTAAGAGTGTTGTGTCATGAGTCTTTTCTTCACAAGTACAGTTTTATCTAGAAATCCCATTATAGATTAGGTTGAGGTAAACAAAAATATTGTTTTAGGATTCCATATTAGGTTTATATTTGTGTGTGTGTTTAAAGCATTTGATAAAGTTAAAATGCTTTCTATACAGAGCTTTTGTTCATTAAAATCAACCTGCAGCCTAGAAAAAAAAGCGTTTAAACTCAACATTTAAAAAGTAACAAAAAATATTTTAACTTCTCTGTTGACGTGAGAATTAGAGTTTAAAGCTTGTTGGAGCACAACCTTGTTTTTTGATACCTCGGCATCATCTCCTCCTTCTATTCTCCTTGCCCTTCTAGCCATATATTATAAGAAATACTAACGTAATTGTTTATTTTCCTTGTCTCTGCTGAAAGCAAGAGAATGTTAACAGTTGAAGAAATTAAATGCTGCCGAATCTCAAATCCCATGAGCAAG